TTTGTAATTCATTACATATAATGTATGGCATCGACCCACATCTCAAACCCATTTCGTCACACTCCCAATAACAACTGATATACTACGTTAATGATGGTCGAAAATATGCCGGCTGATGTTACATCGGAAGTTTATTCTTGATATTTAAATCAAGTGTAGTATAATTGATTTTGTTTTTTTGAAAGTCTTCAAAGATGTTTTGTTGACATTTTATATAAGTTGTAATAGCCTGATGTCATTTCGGCTGCGTGACTGTTGTCAGTCTACAACCAATATACTTTATTGATTTTCCCTGCAAGTGCCAAATTGTTATTAAAGACTCTTTTCACTACAGACAACACTTAGTTAGTGTGGCTCAATAACAGGTCAAAGTACCATTGTTGAAATAACCTTTCATATTCGCTCTGGTAGTTGTCGTTTCCATTTCCATATAAATCAGTTGATGTTGGTGAATTGTATCGACCAGCGTTAGTCGGTTTGTGCCTACTTGTACTCAACCAATACTATTAATTGTTTTATCAAAATTCTTTAGTGACTTGCTGTTTCTACACTGGAAAAGTCTAATATGACAACCCAAGTTATTTGGTGTGCATTATGAGTGTCTCGTCTAACCACATATTTTTATACCACAACTTAAATTTGGTTAAATGTTTTATTGTTGATGCCATTTTGGAAGTTTTGCATTTGTGACGCTATGAACTCATTGTGGATTTCATTTGGGGTTCTTTATTTTAAATATGCTTTGGTCATCATTAGCTATTAAAATATACTCTTCGTGGTGTTGTTTTCAATGTCTTTAAAGAACGTGTTATTGAAAACGCCGGTGTTTCTCACCCACTTCTGAATCTCGATTGTCATAGTTTAAGACTTTATCACCACTTTGAATAACGACATCACTATTTAGCCTTCTTAATTACAAATAAAAATGTTTTACAATACTAATAACAAGTATTCAAGTTATTAGTCTTCGGCGAAGTTTCAACAAGTTTCACCCAAACAACATTGTAATTGACACTCAATAAATTTCTACATACTTAACCACCACTCAACTGTGCACAGTATCAAGTTGTATCGTATGCCGTTTTCAATTTTATACCACGAGAAAAACATTAAAAACGACCTAATATAATATTAATAATTATTAATAATCTTATAATATGTTTTCAAAACATCGTCAAGTTAAACAATAAAACTTGTTGCTAATGGTAAATTGTAAAGATTTTAGTCAACACAATATATGAAATTCGATGTGCATAATAATGATATGTATGTTGGCTGTTTTTATTTTATTAAATAAATTTATTTTGTGTTTTTTGGTAACTGTCTTTAATTTAAAACTTAAAAATCGTTTTTTTCTTTAAAAAATGTTTTTGCTTTAAAAATGTTTTTTAAAAAATACGTTTTAAATATACTTTCACTTATTCAAAAAAGGGAAAATGTGCATTGTAATACACACGAAAAAACCCGATAAACAAACAAATATTTGAGTATTGTAATTGTATATTGCTTTCCGATTTTAAGTCTCATTTATTAGCAATTCACAATTGGAGTTAAAATATAAAAAAGACATAATTATCGTCAAGTAGTATCACATAAAAACAATGTCTCATTATAAAAAACTGGAGAATAGTCGCTTTGAAAATCTATGTTCGACTCGTCGTTGTTTTTTCAATTTCTAACACATATACGCCATCGGCTAAATCTTTTTCTTTTGAAAAGTCGCTATAAAAATGCAAAATTTGTCATGATAACGTAAAAAATATCTCTCACAAAGAACGCTTTTTTGCGAACACATACAAGTACAAAAAAAGAGTTAAACAAATTGTGTTTGTTTCATCCTCCTTTTCTCTTTGAATTCTTGAATCGACTTCTGCTGTAATTTGTGTGATGAATTCGCCGTCCAATTTCACCGCGACCCTCAAAAATACATCGCAACATAGTTTTTTTACATCCTAGTTCTGCGAGTCCACTAAGGGCAAAAATATTTCCAAGCAAAGCAATAACGCTTTTTCCCACTGTCAAAAATATAATTTTTTAATCAGTTCCTTATTATTAGTTTGATTTTTAGTTTGAAAACTAATAGATACCATTTTAATTATTTAACAAATGAAAAATTTCAACAAAGTACGTGTTATAAATACTCAACAACACCATAACATGCTATCCACACATGGGTGGAAGAATGATTTTTAACTCAAGTTTACATGGTTTTAAAATTTGATATTTTTCATTGACTGTTCTAACTACAAATTATAATGTAATTGACTGATTTTGGTGAAACACATTGAATTTAATAAGTGGTGTTAACAAGTCTGTTTAATGATTTGGAAAATAAAACAGAACAATAACGGTTTAATAAGACGTTGTGAATCAACGACAAATGATTTAAACGCGTAAAAGCTTTGTTTTTATTTTCAATTTTTTGCACTTAGTAAATAATTGATTATTTTTATGATGATTTAATAATATAGTTTGTTTTACTATATTTATAATATTAAAAAATAAGTATTCAATTCCCGAAATATTAAAAGAGTATTTGAATTCATTTAAATAAAAAGTGTTTTTCAAGTGTTAATTGTGAATTTGATTGGTTAAAAAAGTAGGCAACACATCTTCTCGAATAAGAGATGAATTATGTATAAGTATCTTGGTGATATTTTGCCAAAATCAAGCTACTTTATTTTTTATGTAAATTTACAAACCAAACTAGAAAAAAAAATGAACTAAAAAGTACAAGACATAACCCAAATTTTTTAACAATTTTTTTGATTTAATCAAAAACATTTGAACCCGAACAATTTCTGTTTATAAAATAACAAAACGTATTCATTTTAATAAAATATAGTTAATTATTAATATTTATTATAATTACATTTCTATTTATACATTACTCGTTTTTAATAAAAACCTTTTTATACGTGGCGTATTAAATTGTTATTTACCATCATACAATTAACATGGTTTAAACAATGATAATCAATTGTATATTATAAGTTACAACCATTTAAAATCAAATGTTGGCATATTAAATATTGTATTTATTCAAATCATTAATGTTTGAAAAATCCATTTCTAATGTTATCAATTTGTTTTTGTTTGTATTTTTAACTATTTGGTATTATGTATTAATTTGAATTGTTTATTTTAATAATTATAAAATTATATTAATTGTTCTTGAATATTTATGTTTGGAAACGTTAATATTGCCGATGAATATAAGATTAACAATTTTTGTTTTTCTAATGTTTTTAAATTTGTTTAATAAATAATAGTTGTGTAAATTGGCAAAATTACCCATTTTTGCTACATTTAAAATTGTTTAATATTTTTATAACTTATTTTTTAATGTTCATTTTATTATTTAATTAACGATATGATTTTGCATTAATAATTTTAAATATTTCTGTATTTTTATCATGTTTATTTAGTTCTTTTTAATGCACAATTTGGGATAAATGTATTTAAATTATGAACAATCAATGTAAAAAAGGTGCAAGTTCTGAACCCGAACAAGTTTCTTTGGTACATTTATTCAAATGATATTTATTTGCCTGATTTTCCCGTTTATTGTTGTTGTATTTATACAACATATTTGAAATAAAAACAGAAAATTAATAATAAATTTGAAAACTTATTCAACGTGCAAATGATTCTTTTATTTACCAATTTCTTTGGCAAACACCTATTTATTGTGACTTTAAGTAAACAATAGATGTTAAAATATATATCGGAGCAGCAATAAACCAAATTTTAAAATTTGCGTTAAAAACACGTGGTTTTAAAAATAAAATTCATCTAAAAACGCATTTTTCAAATGATTTTTGTTGTAAAAAATAAATAAAAACAAAATTTGAATTGTTTAACCAAAAATATTGAGCACAGTCTATTTATTTGTAATGTTTTACAAAACTGTACTATATTTTTAAAAATGTATTAATTAAAACTATATTTTTCTTATTACAAATTATATTAAAAATAATAACTTATTTTTTAAAATTAAATAGTATAAAAATTAAATAAATAAACATGTTTTGAAAATGATTATAATCAATCCGATACGGTTTATACGACATAAAAACGTTTTAATTTGGTCTTTTAACAAGATTTCATCTTTGAGAGCCGTCTTAAAACTCTTGTGATGCTTTGATTCTACAGTTGATTATTTGAAAAAAAATATAATAAAAAAATAATAATATTACGATGTTTTTACCCGAATATTTGAATTAAATAATCGCATTTATTAACAAAAAGATATAAAATATATCAACCATTATTGTATAGTTTTCTTTTAAACTATTATTCCCGTTAATTGAGGTAATATAACTGTAAAATTTTTGTCAATTGTAATATGAACTTTTTGGACAACAAATTAAATCGATTTTTTAAAAACTTTTTTTGATTGAAAAAAAGCCATTATTAGAGTAAAAACAAAGAAAACACCAAAAAACAATATTTTTTGTTAAAAAGTGGACTTTTTTGCCAACAGCCACAAAATTTACTATATAAATGTCTAACCCTGTATAGTCACTTTAGCTTATGTGGAACTTTACCTTATGCAAGGAACCTGTTATAATATATAGTTATTTTATAATATAAAAAAATTTGGATTATTACAAAAATTGGTAAAAATAACACAAAATGGATTTGAAAAAACGAATAATTTTAATTTTATTATTGTTTGTGAAAAAAACCCACAAATAATTGACAATAAATTAAATTTTAATAAAGAATATTATTTGTGTTTATTATATTTCATATGTTGTGTTAAATATCATGTTCATAGCAGTTTAATAGAAAATACATTTGCTATTTAATATAATTTTACAACTAAATTATGTGTTTCAGAGACTTGTGCATCGTGTGATAGAAAAACTGGTATTTGTATTGCCTGTCGTCCAGGAAGTGGGTTTGTGACAAACATCAAATGTGAAAAGTGTATACCTGGTTATTTTTCAAATGGAGGAACTGTTTCGTGCTCCCAATGTGCCCAAATTATTATTCATTAGTTGGATCTACAAGTTGTTCCGCTTGTGATTCTTTGTGTGCGAATTGTAGCCAAATTAACGGAAGTTGTCTTTCTTGTTATAAAGGGTCTCGATTATCCGAAGGTAAATGTGTAGTATGTCAAGCAGGAACATTTCAAAGCGGAAACAATTGCTATCCATGCTGTGGTGAAAATAATTATTCTCTTGTAAATAGTACAGAATGTACTAAATGTTCTAATTGTACAACATGTGAAAGACAAACAGACCGGTGCACTTCATGTGAAGAAGGATATACCATAAATAATGGTTTGTGTTTGATTTGTGCAAGTGGCACATTTTACAATGAAACAGAAAAAACATGTCAAAAGTGTCCCAAAGGGACGTATTCACCATCACCAGGAAGTGCAAACTGTATAGAATGTCCAATTGGCTCTTACTCTGACAATGAGGGAGGAACATCATGTAAATAATGTGACGATTCGTGCAGTGAAAAACAGTGTACTCAAGAGAGTGGATATTGTGTTTCATGTCCAGCGGGTAGTATCAAAAATACGAAAATATGTTCAGTTTGCAGTGGAGGGACTATTGCAAATATGAAAACAAACACATGTGATAATTGTCCAGCTGGAACTTTTTCAAAAGAAGGTTCAACGGAGTGTACATCATGTGAAGAGAACTCTTATTCACAAGAAAAATCAGAAACGTGTACTTTATGTAGTAATACATGTAAAAGGTGCGATAAAACAAGTGGAAAGTGTTTTATTTGTATTGATGGGTATGGCTTGGATAGTTCAAAAAAATGTATGTTATGTAAAATTGGTACTTTTTCTTTGGATTCTAAATGTACCGAATGTGGGGATGGCTTTTATCAAAACAAAGATGGACAAAATACTTGTAAACAGTGTAACTCTTCGTGTACTTCTTGTCATAAAAACGAAGGTAAATGTTTTAATTGTAAAGCTGGATATGGTTACAACTATGGTCAATGTACACTTTGTGGTGAAAATAAATATTCACTTGGTGGTACTTCTCCATGTTTGCCATGTTCAATTGATTGTAATAATTGTAGTCGAGAAAGTGGAGTTTGTACAATATGTCAACCTGGATACAAGGAGACAACAAACGAATTATTCAAAAAATGTGTTTCTTGTTCTTCGAATAGCAATTGTTTTTCTTGTGATTCAAACGAAAATGAATCACAAAGAGAATGTGCCGAATGTTCAAGTGGATATTACTTAGACGATAACACGTGTTTGACATGCGCAAATATACCTTCATATGTTGAGTGTTCAACGACTAAAAAAGAGTGTTATTCATGTGATAATGATTTAATAACAAATGGAACTCAATGTATTTCTTGTGATACAGGAAAAGTAAAAACAAACAAAAAAAACGTGTTCAGAATGTTATCTAGTGATTGACTATTGTCAACTTTGTGAATATAACAACGGAAGTACAAATTGTACAACGTGTTATTCTCCTTATGTTGTTGAAAATAGAAAATGTGTTTTGTCATATACAAATGAGACTCATTATAATTACGAAACAAATAATAAAACATTGAATGAGAATGCGTGCCTCCTTCAAGTAAATTCTTCGTGTTTTTCTTGTACTCAAAATTCTTATCTCCATGAAGAGATGTGTAAAGATAAAGATACAAATTGCCACAAATACTCTAAAACAACTTGTGAAATTTGTGAATCTAATGTCATCACAATAAATGGAAATTGTTCATTAAACGAAGAATGCAAATATCAATTAACTCAAAATGAGAACAAAACTTGTTTGATATGTAACAATAACACGGATTGTGGACTTCATGTTACAAATTGTAAATATACACAAAACGAGTTTAATTATTTAGCAAATCAAAATTATTACACAACTGTTGACAATTTTGGTCAAACCAAATTATGTGAAAATGCAGAAATTTGTCGATTGGAAAATGGAGAATTGGTTGATATAACATGCAATCAAAATTTTGTGTTAACTCCAAATAAAAAATGTGTTACAGATTCAAAGTGTCAAATAAAAAGAGGAAGTGACTGTGTTATGTGTGATAAAGACAGTCACATGAATAATAGTGTATGCATTGCAAACAATGATGATTGTTTAATTCAAAACAAAGACACGTGTATTTTATGTAACAATAAAATAACGGTTGAAGGAAATTGTGTTTCAATTGAATCTATTCAATGCAAAGATTTTAGTGATAATATTTGTAAATCGTGTGAAGAAACTTATTATAAAGACGTTGAAGGGTGTGTAACTAAAGTGGAAAAATATGACAATTGCCAATTTGTCAACGTCGTTTTAAATTCTTGTTATGAGTGTACCAAATTGTTTCTACTTATCAATAATACATGTGTAACACAAAGTGAAGTAAATAACACAACAAATGTGAATTCAATTTTAAAAACAACGAGTGAATACAACGACAATTGTATTGAAAGAAGTTCTAAAGGGTGTTTCAAATGTTCCGATGGTTTTTATTTGCACAATTCAAATTGCGTTCCCTGTAAATCTCCATGCTCTTATTGTTCCAATGAAATGTATTGTACAAAATGTGGTAAATATTCATATGCAACAAATGGAAAATGTGTAGAAATCAACGAATTATTGAGTACCTGTGATGTGATGATGTCAACATATGACGGGTGTGTTGTTTGCAAAGATGGGTATATGCGATCGACAGATGGCAAGAAATGTGACAAGTGTGACATCTCTTGTAAAACATGTTCGAATGATGGGAACTGTTTTATTTGCAATGACACGTATTATAGAACTCCAAATAATATAACAAAATATTGCAATCCACAAGATGAACTTACAAATTGTGTGAATAAAACGACAAATGGGTGTACGCAATGTGAAGATGGATATGCATTAAAAGAAAATTTGTGTAAAAAATGCGGCGAAAATTGTACTTTTTGTGATAAATATTTTGAGTGTTCCAAATGTGAAGATGACAACATTTTAATTAACAATAAATGTATGCACTATTCGCAAATACAAAACTGCATTTCTTCTCAAAATTCCATTTGTTCAAAATGTTCAGATGGTTATAAACTCAGTGGTGACAAACTTGAATGTAATAAAAAGACTAATTATGGATTAATAATAGTATTACCAATTATGTGTATTGTTGTAATATTATTTATAATTATCTTATTAATAACAATCATTTTAATAATATTCAATAAGAAGAAAGAAAATATATTAACAGAAAATATCTGTATCTTTAAGATGAAGCGCTCTAATATTATAATGACTAAATTAAGTGATGACATTTTATCAAACAAACAAGAAATAATGTTTGGTGATGACAGTGATAGAATACACATTGAATGTGAAAATCGTGAATTGTTTTGTGTTGGTAACAACAAAAAAGGAAATATGAAACTTCAAATCACCACAAAAGAGGGGTGTGACAAATATTCGATACGGACAGAGCCACAATTAGTCACACTTAAGAGTGGAGAAGCGTGCGAATTTGAAGTCTTTTTAACACCATTTTGCACTATGAATTTGTGTGATGAAATAATGATAATCTCACTAGACTTAATTAACGGGAAGAAGGAAACAACTTCTGTTAAAATAAAGGCACAAACAGAAAATTCAACACGACTGGATTACGACGAGTTGATAGAAGACAAGAAACTCGGTGAAGGCTCCTTTGGAATAGTTTACAAAGGAAAGTATCAAGGAAATATAGTTGCAATAAAAAAAGATGAAAGAAACAAATCACGACGATAAGAATCAAAAAATTGAATTTAAAAAGGAAGTTGAGATGTTAGACAAATTCAGAAGTGAGTATATCGTCCATTTCTATGGCGCTGTGTTCATACCAAAGAAAGAATGTATGGTCACTGAATTTGCTCAATTTGGGTCTTTAAAAGACTTAATGAGAAGAATGAAAGATGTTGATATTAGAATGAAATTGCGAGTTAAAATGATGTTAGACTGCTTTAAAGGAATACTTTATTTACATTCAAATGATATATTACACAGAGATATTAAGCCGGATAATTATCTAATATTCTCTTTGGATATTAATGACTGTGTAAATGCTAAATTGACTGATTTTGGAAGTAGTAGAAATGTAAATATGTTGATGACAAACATAACATTCACCAAAGGTATTGGAACACCAAAATATATGGCGCCTGAAGTTCTTGACAAAAAGAAATACAAGAAGGCCGCTGATGTTTACTCGTTTTCTTTAACTATGCTTGAAATAGCTATGTGGAAAGAAGTGTTCCGAAAAGATGACAAAGACTTCAGATTTGCTTGGAACATTGCAGATTTTACAAGTAGTGGAAAGCGTTTGCATATTCCGGATACTGTTCCAATGGAATTGACTAGTTTGATAACATCAAGTTGGACACAAGACCCACTTGAAAGAGCAAATATCAATATTGTGGAAATTGGACTTGAAAAGTTTTATAACACAATTTAATTTGTTTTGTTATTTTTTTATAGTTATATTAATTGTGTGTTGTAATACATATTATAAACATTTGAAAACAATAAATGTGTTTTACAAACTTGAGATTTCTTGAATTTTAGACATTTGAATAAAGTTCAACATAATTTAAAGAATTAATAAAACATAATATCATTATTAATTTTGAACAATGTAAATTAGATTAATTGGAAGATATAATATTACACCAATTTAATTTTATGCCTTTTAAAAAGTTTGTATTCTAACCATAATTATTCTATTACATTTATATAAAAATCTTTGGTTTTACTATTTTTTTAAAAAATGGAATTTACATTTCAACAAATAAATGGTGTATTGTTAAGGATATAACCCATATATTGACTTTTTTAATTATTATAAATAATTTCAATAATGAGTAACTGTATAATGCTCATAACATTACAAAATTAATTCTGATGAAAAACACCAAAAATGGCTTTACACATTGTTAAAAACAAGTCAAACAATAAAAATTAATGATGTTTTAAGTGTTAATAAATATCATTTTTAAACTAAAATGAAAAAAAATGATTACATCATGTTTTGCAAAGCATCAACAATTTGTTGAATAGTCGCACGCTCTTTGGTATTTTGAATCCAAGCACTCTGTATTAATTTAAATTGCTCATTAGACATATCACTTCCAATTTCAAGTCGCTTACCAGCGACTACGAACTCGACGATGTTCCACGGATAATTAAAATTTTCTTTGTTGTAACATTTTTCCCAATTGAAAATTTCATACATGGTTATTGCAAAAGAGAAAATATCACTTGGCATTCGATATTTTTCTTTATTCAACACTTCAGGCGCCATGTACTTTGGTGTTCCAACTCCTTTGGTGAAAGTCATGTTAGTCATCAACAAGTTGATGTTTCTACTACTTCCAAAATCAGTCAATTTAGCATTCACTTTGTTTTCAAAATCCATTGATACAACTAAAATGTTGTCTGGCTTGATATCTCTGTGTAAAATGCCATTGTTATGTAAATACAAAATTCCTCGAGCTGCATCATACACAAATTTGTTCCTCATTAGATTTGAAATATCTCTACGACTCTTATGAATCATTATATCTTCTATACTTCCACATTCAGCAAATTCAGTGACTAAACTCATTTTACTTGGTACACAAACTGCACCAAAGAAGTTGATAATAAAATCACAATGAAACTTTTCTAACATCTCAATTTCTGAGATAAATTCGAGTTGTTTGTCATCTGTTTCATTGACTATTTTTAATTTTTTTATTGCGACTTTCTGCTCCCTGAAAACTCCTAAATAAACAACGCCAAAAGATCCTTCACCAAGTTTCTTATCTTCTTTAAGTTCATTTGGATCAATCCGAGTCGAAAGCTCTGTATTAAAAACAATTTGATAATCAAAAAACGGTTTCTTTGGCTGTTTTAAAGTCGATGTAAATCAATTTAAGTAAAGACGAAATTTTGCACGTACAATTTGGGGTCACCAAAATTTCAAATTCACACGCTTCGCCATTTTTGAGAACGACAATTTGTGGATTAATTTGAATTGTTACTCTTTCATCTGTAATCACACTCAATTGTAATTTTATGTGGTGTTTCGACTTGTTTCCCAAACATAGAAGTTCGCGAGTTTCTTTATTAACTGGAATTTGAATGTTATCGAAGTCAATCAACTTTTTGTTAGAACTTAAAACTGAATCTAAACTGGTAAAAATTAAATTTGATCTTTCCATTTTAAATATTGTTTTCTCTTCTGTATTTTTGTGTTTTTTAAAGATAAAATAGAGCGGTAATATGATAATTGATATTATAATTATAATTAATAGTATAATAGAAAATAGTATGACAATGTATACCCATATCTTCGTCTTTTCTTTACAAAAGTTGTTTTTGAGAATAAAACCATTTTCACACGTAACACAAAGACCATTTTTAGCACTTGTACAATGTTGAATTAATACCATGTCAACACATTTTGTCATGGAAAATACGAAATTGTCAAAACAGCTCGTGCAAACAGTTTCAGAATCACACGACAAACAATTTGGATGACATTTTGTACAAAAGCCGTTTTGATTGAGATAATACCCTTTAGAGCAATTTAAACATGTATGTGAACCTGCAGTGACACAATTTGCTATTTGAGTGGTACTTACACAACGAGAATTATTCATAAAATAATGTTCTGCACACGTCAAACAAATAGTTGAATCTTTGATGCAAGTGTCACATGACAAGTGACACTTTTCACAGTTTCCTTCTCGATTCATTACATAACCAGATAAACATATTGCACACTTTATTTTATTTAATTGAAATGTCTGACACCCATTTTCGGTATTAAGCAATTCACAGGATATCCCTTGTAATGTGTAATTTATATCACAAACCGCACATTCATTTGGACTATAGCAAATTCTACAATGTGATGGACAATTCACACATTTGGAATTATATAAATAATACCCAACATCACATCGAATACATCCAACTGATTGAACTATCGCGCAGTTTGATGTTAAAGTTGTTTTTGTTGTTTGCATTAATTGCCTGTTTTGTTTTGTATCAACTTCGCACGTTGATGTATCAGACAAATAATATTCATTTCTGCATTTTAGACAAAGGGATTCAGAACAATATTCGCAATAAGTTGAACAATTTTCACACATGGAATTCTGATCTCCTGTTTTATACAATTCAATAGAACAAGTGGTACAAATGTTATCATTAATTTCTGTACATTTGTCGTAAAATAAACATTCTTTTGTTTGTGGTACTATCAAATAATTCTGTTTGCAAATATCACAACCATCATAATTACACTTTTCGCAATTTTGAGTACATAAAGAACAAATACCATTTTTAATTGTAGAACCATTTTGACATGTATAACAATATCCATTGTAACTAATTTCACAATGTGTTTCTTTTAACTCACATTTTGTTGAATCTTCGGATAAAGTATGATTAATTGCACATGCTTTACATCGGATTTGATTGTTAATAAACACACAAGAATTACAATATAAAGGACACTCTTCGCATGTATTATTTATATTCAAATAATAATTATCTTCACAAAAAAAACAATTAAAATTAAAGTAAAAAAACAATGTGAAACTGTTTGTTGAACACATTCTAATGGAGTTTCAGTTGTTGTTTTATTAAAAGAACATTTTAAACAACTTTCTTCTTTACAAATGTCACAATTGTCAATCTCACATGATAAACATCTTCCTTCTATTGGATACATTAAATTTGCACAACTTTCACATCCCAAAGGCATATTGTAAATATCACAATCTTTTTTAGAAATTATAAAACATTTTCCATTTGAAATTGAAAAACCGGTGACACAAGAAACACAAAATGTACTGTTGAATGAACATGATAAACAACCATATTCACATCTCTCACATTGATTTAATGTATTTAAACCATATCCCTCATCACAAAGAACACACTCATAAGTCGTACGACTCGCCATATGACAATTGTCAAAATAAATTGAAGTTTCCCAACAATAATTATTATTTGGAAAATATTCATAATCACATACATTTTCAAATCTAATGCATTTGGAAATATTTTCATTATCGACACATTGAACGCATTTGAAATTTTCATTTAAAACGTAGGGAAGACGACACTTCGAACAAACTTCTCCATTACATTCCAAACAGTTATTATCATTGTCACAAATAAGAACACAAATACCATTCAAAATGTAATACCCAGTTTGACACAATTCACACTCATATGAATCCGTTGAACATTTATTACAATTTGTAATATTACAATCAACACAAATTCCATTAAAAAGTGTTTTTTCAGAAATACATTTTGAGCATCCCCATTGTGTTGGATCACACAATACACAATCGTCTATTTCAGAAATACAATCATAACAATAATTATCAAACAAAGAAAGTCCGTATTGACAAGATCCAATTTGTGGAGATACACAATCCGAGTTTTGAGAAGTACATGAAATACAACTTCCATTTGAAGAAACTGTATATCCATGTTTACAGCTTAAACACTTAAATTCGGTTTGGGAACAATATAAACAATTTTCAATGGCTTCTTCACAAATTGAACAATTTAAATAATCAACAGTTGGAGTATAATAGATTTCACATTTTAAACACTTTTGTACTGTTCTATCGCCTTCAACGCAGTGCATTATAGCTTCTGAAAAGGATACACAAATACCTTCATTAAATGTATATTGTTCTTCACATAATAGACATTTACTTTCATTTTGAGAACACGTAGAACAAGTCAAACA